GAGATGATTAAAGCTTGACAGAGGTTCTAATCTTTCCCAAAACTAAAAACTGTTTGGTTGGAGATCCATATTAAAGTGTATTTCCATTTGTTTTTGTTTTAGTTTTGGATATACAGTCAGGTCCATAAATATTGGGACATCGACACAATTCTAACATTTTTGGCTCTATACACCACCACAATGGATTTGAAATGAAACAAACAAGATGTGCTTTAACTGCAGACTGTCAGCTTTAATGTGAGGGTATTTACATCCCAATCAGGTGAACGGTGTAGGAATTACAACAGTTTGCTTATGTGCCTCCCACTTGTTAAGGGACCAAAAATAATGGGACAATTGGCTTCTCAGCTGTTCCATGGCCAGGTGTGTGTTATTCCCTCATTATCCCAATTACAATGAGCAGATAAAAGGTCCAGAGTTCATTTCAAGTGTGCTATTTGCATTTGGAATCTGTTGCTGTCAACTCTCAAGATGAGATCCAAAGAGACATCACTATCAGTGAAGCAAGCCATCATTAGGCTGAAAAAACAAAACAAACCCATCAGAGAGATAGAAAAAATATTAGGCGTGGCCAAAACAACTGTTTGGAACATTCTTAAAAAGAAGGAATGCACTGGTGAGCTCAGCAACATCAAAAGACCCAGAAGACCACGGAAAACAACTGTGGTGGATGACCGAAGAATTCTTTCCCTGGTGAAGAAAACACCCTTCACAACAGTTGGTCAAATCAAGAACACTCTCCAAGAGGTAGGTGTATGTGTGTCAAAGTCAACATTCAAGAGAAGACTTCACCAGAGTGAAGATGTAAACCATTGATGAGCCTCAAAAACAGGAAGGCCAGATTAGAGTTTGCCAAACAACATCTAAAAAAGCCTTCACAGTTCTGGAACAACATCCTATGGACAGATGAGACCAAGATCAACTTGTACAAGAGTGATGGGAAGAGAAGAGTATGGAGAAGGAAAGGAACTGCTCATGATCCTAAGCATACCACCTCATCAGTGAAGCATGGTGGTGGTAGTGTCATGGCGTGGGCATGTATGGCTGCCAATGGAACTGGTTCTCTTGTATTTATTGATGATGTGACTGCTGACAAAAGCAGCAGGATGAATTCTGAAGTGTCTCGGGAATATTATCTGCTCATATTCAGCCAAATGCTTCACAACTCATTGGACGCTTCACAGTGCAGATGGACAATGACCCAAAGCATACTGCAAAAGCAACCAAAGAGTTTTTTAAGGGAAAGAAGTGGAATGTTATGCAACGGCCAAGTCAATCACCTGACCTGAATCCGATTGAGCATGCATTTCACTTGCTGAAGACAAAACTGAAGGGAAAATGCCCCAAGAACAAGCAGGAACTGAAAACAGTTGCAGTAGAGGCCTGGCAAAGCATCACCAGGGATGAAACCCAGCGTCTGGTGATGTCTATGCGTTCCAGACTTCAGGCTGTAATTGACTGAAAAGGATTTGCAACCAAGTAATAAAAAGTGAAAGTTTGATTTATGATTATTATTCTGTCCCATTATCTTTGGTCCCTTAACAAGTGGGAGGCACATATGCAAACTGTTGTAATTCCTACACCGTTCACCTGATTTGGATGTAAATGCCCTCAAATTAAAGCTGACAGTCTGCAGTTAAAGCACATCTTGTTCATTTCATTTCAAATCCATTGTGGTGGTGTATAGAGCCAAAAATGTTAGAATTGTGTCGATGTCCCAATATTTATGGACCTGACTGTATATAGTGAAAGGACAAGACTCTGTCACTGTGAGAAGATAGGAAAATGTGACACAGGATTCGCATTTAGGGTAAATGCAATGTTCCAGACTAATGTTTCTGGGCAAAGAAAGCTGTGGATTTTGTTTTCTCTGGATTCTGCAGCTCTGGATTGGAACATTCAATCCTGTGTCCGGGTTTTGCTAGACACCTGAAACCTGTCTAAGTATACAGGTGTGCAGTGTCATTATATATTCAGTTTTGAGGATGGCTCATAGATCCCAGTTTGGAGACCGCTCGTAATGGGGTTGACAGAAGCTCTCATCAAGAGGTCAGAGGACCCAGTCAGAAGCCAAGAGACAGAGGTCTCAGTTCCAGTAGTCAGGTCAGCTCCTATTGAGGTGTCAACAGAACCCCAGTCCATAGGCCAGAAATGGGCCATGCAGCAGGATGCTGTGAGTAAAGGAGAGCTAGACAACACAGTCTGAGAGACTGGTAAGAGGTGCAGCGTGGTGCTGCTATTGAAGCTGAGTGAGCTTATGAGGCAGGTGGCTCGCATTTTATAGTGTGTGTATTTCTGCTGAGGCTGGAGAAGATCACCTGAGTGAGAAGTCATTTGTTTGTGAACTTTTGCTTTCTTTTAAATAACAGTGGGCTACCAAGCCCTTAAAAATAGTTCCTGTCTACCGTGGACTTAAAAAAAATAAAGCATTTAGAAGTGTATTTATGGGAATGTTTGACCATTGGGATGTCAGACGCGAGGACCTGGCTCGCAGTCTCCACTCTAATTCATCCCAAAGGTGTTCTATCGGGTTGAGGTCAGGACTCTGTGCAGGCCAGTCAAGTTCCTCCACCCCAAACTCACTCATCCATGTCTTTATGGACCTTGATTTGTTCACTGGTGCACAGTCATGTTGGAACAGGATGGGGCCATCCCCAAACTGGTCCTACAAAGTTGAGAGTATGAAATTTGTTCAAAATATCTTGGTATGCCGATGCCTTGAGAGCTCTCTTCACTGGAACTAAGGGGCCAAGCCCAGCCCCTGAAAAAACAACCCCACACCATAATCCCCCTCCACCAAACTTTACACTTGGAAAAATGCAGTCAGGCAAGTACCGTTCTCCTGGCAACTGCCAAACCCAGGCACGTCCATCGGATTGCCAGACAGAAAAGCGTGATTCATCACTCCAGAGAACACGTCTCTACTGCTCTAGAGTCCAGTGGTAGCGTGGTTTACACCACTGCATCCAACGCTTTGCATTGCACTTGGTGATGTAAGGCTTAGATGCAGCTGCTCAGCCATGGAAACCCATTCCATGAAGCTCTCTACGTACTGTTGTTGTGCTAATCTGAAAGCCACATGAAGTTTGGAGGTCTTTAGCAATGCACTGACCCTGCTCTGTCATTTTATGCGGCCTACCACTTTGTGGCTAAGTTGCTATTGTTCCCAGTTGCTTCCACTTTGTTATAATACTGATAACAGTTCACCATGGAATATTTAGTAGCAAGGAAATGTAATGGATGGACTTATTGCACAAGTGGCAACCTATCACGGGACCACGCTTGAATTCACTGAGCTCCTGAGAGACTCATTCTTTCACAAATGTTTGTAGAAGCAGTCTACATGCCTAAGTGCTTGATGTTACACACCTGTGGCCATGGAGGTGATTGGAACACCTGAATCCAATGATTTGGAGGGGTGTCCCAATGTTTTTGGCAATATAATATAGAATTAAAAAATTAAAATAATGTTTTAATTACCCTCTCTGTAAGGTCCGCTGAGAGCTTCTAATGTGAGATAATGCTCTTCAATTCTGGTGTTGTGCCTTTGCTCCCCTTCTCTTTTGTGCCATTTATGAAGCACTGCATGGTGGTCCGCTGTTCTTTCTGAATGCTGGAGGTAAGCTTTAGCTTCAGGTTGAACATGAGTTCAAACCAACCCAACAGTTTGGAGAACGGTTGAAAAAACTGGCCAGCTTTGCCAGTTCTCCTGCCTACCTGAACCTCCTGAGGCAGCCAGAAGCCCGTCATTTAACGTTGATAGCACTACCACCGTTAGAGAGATTCATGCTGACTTGTTGGAAATCTTAAGCCCCTTTCACACAGGGCAGAATCCACTTTGCTCTGCACAGCAGGGGATCAGCAGACAGATCCAACGCTGAGCATAATTGTAGGATGACAGTTCTGTGTCCACTTGGGTTATGCAGAGCGGATATGGACAAACCCCACTCTGCTCTATGAGCGGTCATGGGTAATGGACCTGCTGTCTGTTTACATGTCACTGCCCTTCTATCCGATCTGCCCAGACAGAGGGGAACAGATCTCCTTCCATTTTTTTTTGTGGATCAGATCGAATTAGATATAGGTGGGTGTAAAAGAACACAAGATTTCCCTATAGCAATACATAGACCATCCAATCAGGTCTAGGCCTAAGAAATGGACACACGAACCTGATCAGATCACCCACGTGAAAGAGGCCTTGAACAAACTGGTGGGAATCCCAGGTGACATCATTGACCAAGCATGGTCATGGCTAAATTTGATCACTGATGTCACCCAGGATCCCCCGGTACCCTTGTTTACAAACAGAACAAGACCAGTGGGGAATTATCATTTAGCGGCAGTATTTTTTTTTAACATTACTTTTGCAGGAGTAAATTGTACTGATGCACAACTTCATGTGCTGGTTTAGGGCATCTCCCAAGTATGTTATACAAAGGATTTGTGTAGTTTTAATGTTGGCTTTTAACTTCAATGGGTGAGTTTGACAGGTCTGTTAAACTCGACAAATCACCTGTGAGACTCGACAAACCAAATTTATTTTGCTGCAGCATGTGTATGATTCCCTTCTGGATGCCTTGTTGGGCTTTGGTTCAGTAGTAAAAATGTGGAGAAAATGTTTGTTTCTGAGGCTCGTCTGAGCAAGGCCATACAGCATAAAACAGCATCTCCAGGAAAACTGCATATCTACCTTATAGCTGAACATTAGTCCTGCCAAGTAGGCCTGTCAGGTGGCAGAGACGTGTAAACTTCAAAACTTAATGGACGGAAATACAAATCCATTGGTAGGTAAAACCTCTCCCATATATTTATTTTGTATGCGTATTATGCATTTACTTGTAGTTGAGTTTCAATGTTAGATAATTATAATTCTTCTATCTTCCTATTTACACAATTTTAATTGTGTTCCTCCCTTTGTTTCCCCAGTTTTAACCTGCTCAACCTGCCAGTTTTTTAAAGGATACATCATTGGAAGGTCAATATAGCTATAAGAACTCTGCATGCCCAACACCTGGACAGAAGGAAGCACAAACTGCAAAGAAGAAAGTAAAAACAAGGTATATAGGGCTTTTCTGGCAATAAAGCATGTATAGAAGTGTCGTTTTTAGACCTGCTATCTACTTTATTACTTTTTGGAGTCAGTCCGCCCAAAAATAACGGCATAGGGCTTGTTGTGAATGGAGGTTTACAGACGGCGTTTGAAACAAGATTCTAAAGCATCTCATATATATTGTGTATCCTAAAGTTATATTAAAGCATACGTGTAACCAAAACTTATTTTATTGTTTTGGAAAGCGTTGGGTAGAGTTAAAAACCTCTGTGTTTTTCTATACTGTGTAGCCAGTTGGGAACATTTTCAATTTTCTAAATGGGTCAAAAAAACTATTGAAACATTAACATAGAATAATATGGAAATGTATTTTGTTCTTCTTTTATAGGGATTACGATCTCCAGAAATGAACAGGAAAATGCAGAGCAGAAGGGGTCAGGGATTGGATGGGGGGGGGGGGATGGGTGGTAAATAGGTAGGGGGGAAGGGGATGAAATTTAAAAAAAAAAGAAAAAAAAAAAAACTATTGAAACACTATAATTTGGTAGATTAAGGGACAGCTACAACCCATTCAGCTGTTTTTCCCTACTTTGGATATTTTTGCTCACTTTACCTTTGCTGCAAATGCAATCAAAGTGAAATTTCTTTGCTCAGAGAAACATAAAACCTGACAGTGGTGCTAACACATCTTATCCCTGTCTAAAACAAAAGAACACTTTTGGGGGGTATTTACTAAAACTGGAGAGTGCAAAATCTGCTGCAGCTCTGCATCTAATCCAATCAGCTTCCAAGATTTAATGTCAAAGCTTAATTGAACAAGATGAAGCTAATAGCTGATTGGCTACCATGCACAGCTGCACCAGATTCCGAGTGCTACAGACTTGGTAAGCCACCCCTTTGTCTGGGATGGCCCTTTAAGAGAAACATTTAGAAGGTAGGAACCACCCCCACCAAAAAGAGGGGGATGTGAAAAGCGGTTACATAATGAACAGAAAGCGATACTCAAAAATGTCCACCTCCACCCCCAGCCACAAAAGTGCTGTGCATGGCTCACTTAGGGCCACCCCATTCCCTGCATTGAGCTGCATGTGACAGCGCTACTCCACTCTATACACTGTGCTGCTTAATAGATACACCAGAATGCTCCGCATATGCACTGTGCTGTATGTTGAATACTTCAGGTTGCTTCTTAAAGTACTTGGTACTGTGCATGTGTAAACAATTCTGGACTCCACCTGTACCCTGTGCTGTTAATAACATACCCTTCATGGCTCCAATGCATACGATGTTGCATGTGACATACTCTGGACTGTTCCCCCTGCACACTGTGCTGCACATGGCATACTCTAAACTTACCTCAGTATACTAATCTGTAGGTGACATGCTTGGGGCTGCCCTACCCATTGAAAGTACTGTGTGTGACATACTCTTGACTGTCCTACTCCAAACTTTGCGCTACACATGACCTACTCTAAGCTGCCCCACTCAGTATACTGTGTTGTATGTGACATAATCAGGACTGCCCCACCTGTGCACAGTGCTATATGTGACATACTATTCCCCACTCCTTGCATTGTGATGTACATGACATACACTGGACTGCCCCAGTCCATGCACTATACTGTATTTGACATACTCCAGTGTGCTTCTCTCTATACACTGTGTTGTATGTGACATACTTCAGTTTGCCTTTTTCTGCATGCTTTGCAGTACAGTGCACAGAGAGGGTAAGCCCTTCCACAGGTTTCAACAACAAAATCATTTTTTTTTTTTAGTGTGTTTGAACTGACTGTTATAAAGGTATATATGGACTATATGGCAAGAGGAAAGCAAAGGACTAACTTTAATAAATGTCATAGATGCTTAGACCAATTTTGGGAAGATTCTGTGAAAATATGGCTATCGCTTTTATTAACCTACACAAACAACTTCATAGTTGTATAAGTACAAAGATGATTACTGATGACAGATAAAAAAAAAGGTACCTGTCAAAATGATTTTCAAACTTGTTGACAAATCTTTTTCTAGACGTGATTGTTTGTCTGACATTTTATCAGTATAAACAATCATTTAGCTTACAAGGTAATTATAGTGATAAAGTAAACCTGACACAAAAATGGGCAATTAAAAATGAGTCTATGACAACAAAAAACATAAGCAGAGGTTACCTTGAATGAAAACCACTCGTCAAAATCATCAGCAGAAACAGGTTTATTGGCAGCTGAGGTTCTTTAAAAACCTTAACTTTTGCCTTTAAAAAATTATCTTGGCCCCACTCTTCTACCTTCTGAGATTTTAAAGTGGTCCTTTTATGTGATGATTGACTCCATTGACTTAGGCTGGACATAGTAGAGTGGAAAATCCAGATGACCACACACCAGTGTCACATAAAACTGTCCTTATTCAAACGCTCAAAATGATCATGTTATTTAACAGACAGCATAAATAAACCCCAGGGAAGCCTATTGATGCTGTCACAGTCAGGGATCAGGCTATGAGACCAGTAGCTATAGTAGTAGAGCGGCTCCTACCGACCAGCAAGATGAGTACACCATCAGGTTACCCTGATGGAAGGCAGGGGCTTACCTGAGGTTGGAGATGGGTTTTGCTGCATGTTAATACCAGGTCGCGATCCTCAAGATCTCCCCATCAGAATGTGAGCAAGCCAGGGTCCAGTAGCAGGTATAGCAGGTAGGGATCAAGCAGAAGCATGGTCAGTAAACAAGCCAAAGGTCAGTAACAGGCTGTTGCAGGTTGGGATTAAGCAGAAGCGGAATAAGTCAAAGGTCAATAACATATGGTAATGAAAGTAAGGACAGTTGCAGGTACTCAAAGGAGCAAGATATTGCTGGAGAGAGCACAATAATTTGGTAAAAAGTACATGCAAAGGCATGGCTTAAACAGAAAGTTTATGGAAATAACAAAGAATTCAAGGTTCACAAGAAACAAGGTACAAGGCCATTGGGTGTCTATTAATAATATTATGATGCATCATCACCTAATGGCATGAAACACATCAGTAAGCTTCCCTGGGGTTTCTGCGATGTTGTCTGTTTAATACCATGATGATTTTCAGACTTTAAATAAAGAAGACAGTGTTACGTGACATTGGAGTGCGGTCATTTGGTTTTTCCACTCTAGGACAGTGGAATAAATGTTGCCATTAAAAGACCAGTTTAAAATTTAAGAAAGTAGAACAGTGGGGCCAAGATCAATTTTAAAAGCAGAAGTCTAGATTTTGATGTCCTATGCAATTCCTGTGAGAATTAGTTTCATGCGAAACTTTCATTTAAATGGGCTGAAATCACACTAACTTGCACCAGAAGTAATGCATGCGCTGCTTTGCAAAAACACACTGCACCAGGGGCGGACTGACCATTTGGAAACTCGGGCACTGCCTGAGGGCCCGGGGTCAGTAGGGGGCCCCATGAGATGCCCCTGGTACCTTTTTCATAGGCTTTTTAGAGTTTGGGCAAGGACACAGGGGTCCCATGATCCCCTATTGCCCGGGGGCCCTATGAGTTGTCAGTCCGCCCCTGCACTGCACCAGATCACATGGTACTGTAGTACCATGCAATCTTATACAGGCAAACGCATTGTGTTTGCGATCTGCATTTGGAATGTCGTAGGGATTACATTACACCCAGTGAGTTTTGAACGTGATGCAAGAAATGGACACAGAAAGCTACGGTGTGAACGAGCCCTTAAAACAGAATCACTCTATACAAGGAAGTTCTTATCCCCATGTTGCATGCTTGCAGAGCAAAAAAGACAACCTGTAACATTATATATGTGTGTCTTTTTCAGACAATGGAAACCAATGAGACTGACCTGACCCCCTAAACTTGGATTCAACTCAAAAGAACAACAGCATTTGTATTTTTGGAACTGGGGACTTTGGCCGATCACTTGGATTTAAATTGATACAGAGTGGCTTCCATGTGATATTTGGGAGCCGAAACCCTGCAAGGGTTAATTTGCTTCCCAAGGGGATGGAAGTGCTCGGCCATGCTGAGGCGGCACAAAAATGCCCACTGATCATTTTGGCCGTACAGCGGGACCATTATAGTCCTTTTCTCAGGGAACTTGAAGATGTTTTAGATGGAAAAGTCCTAGTGGATGTCAGTAATAACCTGAAGATAAACCAGTACCCAGAATCCAATGCGGAATATCTTGCCCAGCTGTTACCAAGAGCTAAAGTCATAAAAGCATTTAACACGGTTTCAGCATGGTCTCTGCAGTCTGGAACCCTGGATGCCAGCAGTCAGGTAACCATTGACTATCACCAGAAAGCTGACACTTATATTTAGATTATTGCAACAAACAGAGCATGTTGAAAGTGTTTGTCTCTGCTCCATAGGAGTTTACATTCTAATGTTTTAACCACAGTCATACAGGGCAATACACATGGTGGCCAGTCTAGGCAAAAGTCAATTACCCTACTGCTGTGTCACCATAGTCAGAGGAGACCCACGCAAACATAAGAACAACATATGAACACCCTGGTGGTAATTGAACACCAGCACTGGGAGGTCACCATGCTTCACTGTACCCTGAAGGCCATTGAAGGAAAACTCCACTAATTTAATAATTGAACAAATACAGTGGATATGGCTGGCACTTACCTCTACAAGCAAGGCGTGGTGGAGTGAAAGACCTGAAAATGCATTTCCACTAAGGGAAAAATATATTGGAAGGATTTTTTTATTCCATAAACAACTTTATTGAAACTTCACTACTTATTATATACAATACGAAAAGGACAAGTGGCAGTAGGCACAATACAATAGAAAGTACATTATCAGCCTAGCAGCTTCAATGCCGCTCCACTGCCCGCATGGGTGAAGTTGGCATACAACAGAGAAAAACAGAAATAGCATACAAATGCAAATAAAACCAAAGTAATAGAGGTAGGATGGCTAGACTGCCTGTAGGAAATATCAAAAGGGTGGAGCAGTCCACCTTGATGTCTCTCCTTAATCACATTCCCTAGTTTTTCTTTCTGGAGTCTAGTCTCCAAACTTTTTCCCTAATGAATGTTATTATCCTTATGAGGAGATCCTTCATGTCCTTCTAGTCCTGAAGAGACAACCAGTCTAAAAATTCCTGGCTCCCCTCTCTAGATTGCATTCTCCACATATTCATCCTGCAGAGAGGTAAAAAAGGTCCCACAGCACCATTTATAGGCTATGTTTACATTAACAGCTCTGCAATTAGAAACTATAGAAATTAATATGCTTTTACCAAAATTCTTCTTTGCATACTAATGTGTGAATTTCCTACTGCAGGTTTTTGTGTGCTCAGATGACAACACAGCCAAACAGAGGGTAATGGACATTGTGCGGGCCATTGGGTTGACACCACAAGATAAAGGGTCGTTACTGGCAGCTAAAGAAATAGAGAATTACCCCCTCCAGCTTTTCCCTATGTGGAGACTCCCAATTTACCTATGCGCAGGACTAACCGTGCTTGTGTTTCTATACTGTGTCATAAATGACGTTGTCCACTCTGCGGTTGTCCTTGGAAAAGATATCTCCTTCCGACTGGCCATCTCAATACCGAACAAGGTCTTCCCCATCGTCTCTCTCATGCTGCTGGCCTTGATCTACCTTCCAGGAGTGTTTGCTGCCATCATTCAACTGTATCGTGGCACAAAGTACAGCCGCTTCCCCAATTGGCTGGACCGTTGGATGTTGTGTAGGAAGCAGCTGGGGTTGGTTGCCCTGTCCTATGCCTTTCTCCATGCCATTTACACTCTGGTGATTCCAATTCGATATTATGTAAGGCACAGGATAGCTACCAACACCATTGCACAGGTAAGTCGGTTGAATTTTAAAGGAAATGTATACAAGGAAGTTCTTATCCCCATGCGGGGGAGAAATGCGGGGTCTACCTTTGTTGACCTCCTTCATAGGATACTAGTTGCCTGCATATCTTGGGCATAAGTACTTTCGATGTGTGACCAACCACGAAGCTTATCTGGTCTAATGAATCCTTATACACTATGAGTACATTAAATACAGTTTCAAATGTGACAGATATATACAAACTCTGTGGGACAGTGTATCCAACACTTTGTGATATCGACTACCATAGAGAATCCATTATTAGAGTTCCAGATCTTCTGGTTATAAACGAACTTCATGGAGCTTAGTGCCCTTTTTTAATATTCAAATTTTTCATTTGTATCACTTTTTATTAATACAGAATTATGCTATTGGAGCTCTCTTCTTATGTTTTAACCAATATATACACCTAATGAGCCAGAGTAAATTTTACATCTCAGTTATGGTCCTGTTGCTTCGGCTATAACTTTGTCAATACTTAAGATAACAAAAACCATACTGTACATATACATATAGTCTTTAATTTGGCACAAACAAGGCTTGTTCTTGGCTACATTGTCTTATATAACTATTTAATTATCTATGCAATCTATAGACAAAAGGAGTAACAAAAAGAAAAAATCTCAATGCTGTATTGATTGAAGCATGACTAAACTGTGAACCATCTTCAACAGGTCAAGAATAATGAAACCAGCCCCTTCTCAACAGTCATGGCCTGGCGGTCAGACTCATACATAGCCCTGGGAATTCTGGGATTTTTCTTCTATGTACTTCTGGGAATAACGTCATTGCCGTCTGTTAGTAACGCTGTCAACTGGAGAGAATTCCGCTTTGTCCAGGTATAATAGAGATAATTCTGTCTTCTTACACAGTGACAAAACCTAAGCCGATCATACTGTACAGCATACAAATTCTGCCATATTATGGCTGATCTCAATCATACTCTTGGCCATGTCCAATAACAGGTCAAGGACAAAACACAAAGGCCAGAGCAACCAACCAGAACTATACGTGATATACAGCGCAAACAATCTCTATCACCTATCAAAGCTATCATCTAATGTCTGTTCTAGCAGGACAAGGCAAAACCCAATCCCCTAAATACACACCTTTATCTATTTGCTACTGTAGAGCTACCCCAGCAGGGACAGCTGGTATTAGCTGGTTCTTCTCTAATAATACAGAGGCTGCCTGTCTCTGCAACCACCAGTCCATTCACACCTGCTCCAATAACTCCAAGGGATGTTTTTTTTAAGATTCATTGCTTGATAACAGAAGAGGGGCTTGGGCACACAATACTTAAAAGTGATTAGAACACAACAATTAGAGAACAATATTCTCCTTACGTAATTGTGAGTATTGGACATTCGAAGGCCTCATAGCTGGGGACCATGAGGCAAGTTACTTTGGGATCTGGTTACCTTGCACCTGTGTACCACTACTGGTATTCAGTGTGATTCCCAGAACATTGCACAGTCACAGGGATCAATTTAGTGTCATTACTCACAAGTCCCCAGGACAGCTGCCACCTTTCAGCTTCCACCAGGGAGTGAGACAGTCCTTTTCCAGACCAAAACACTTGTGGTGAGATCTTGCAATCAGCTCCTTGGAAGATCCATCCAGGCCTTCAGCCTTAGCACTGTCCATGGGCTGCCTGAAGGTAGCTTTGAAACTCTCCTGAGGAGAAGGAACCAAGCTATCCAGTGCTTCACACTGTTTATCACCTTCCCAGCCCCCTTCTGGACACTCCTCTCCAGGGATTGGCTGGAGCATGATAAATAATCTGGTTGGCTATTGAAATCTCCCGTCCTGGAAGCTTCTTCCAGGGGTAGGGGAAGCAATCAAACTTCAAGCCTGGGAAACCCTTAACAGGCCAAAAGAAACAATTACTGCTCCCCTGATTACAGTCATTTACATTTTTTCCAAAAATGAAATGTCCCCATGCTAGGGGGGTGCTACACTACCAACAGTAATTAAAGTGTAAATCCACCTTAGTATATGCAATGTGTACCGATCCTTATTGGATAATATGCACAAATCTTGTTTTCCCACTCATGATTTTTAATTTGATTTTTTAAATATTTTTTATTGGATATGTTTTATAGCAAAAAGTAAAAAATAGTGGGTTTTTTTTTTCAAAGTTGTTGGTCTTTTTTTGTTTTATAGCGCAAAAAATAAAAAAATGCACAGGCGATCAAATACCACCAAAAGAAAACTCTATCTGTGGGAAAAAAGGACATAAATTTAATTTATGTACAGCATTGTATGACCGCGCAATTGTCAGTTAAAGTAATGCAGCGTCGTATCACAAAAAATGGTCTGGTCAGGAATGAAGGGGGGGGGGGGGTAAATCCTCTGGAGGGCAAGTGGTTAATCTAATAATAAACATTAAACCCAAAACCAATGTAATATATTGCAGCTTACCAATTATTAGATGTGGTGGCTGCATTTGTTTTCTATTTTTTTAGGCTTTTTTCCCGTCTGTTTTCACCTGGTAGTCTAGCTAGTACCACAGCACCTGTGTTATACAGACACCACTCTGGACGAATGAGCACAGGGGCAGATTTAGACAGCAGCATTGTCAGTTTGGGGGGAGAGGAGTATTAGAGGTACTAGCAGATTTAAATACACTAACAAATTGAAGGTTTTACATAAACAAATACATTATTTGATTATTGTAAGCACCCCTGTCAGTGTTTTATGGTTTGTCTCACCCCTGTAACTGCAAGGGAGCTTCTCTGTTGAAATACAACTGACTTACTGACTGGATCGCCAGATGAAAATAGACAAAAGAAAGCCTGAAAAAAACTAATGTGGCATATCTAAGAATTGGTACGCTGCAATATATAAAAATTTTTGGGTTGAATACTGCTTTAAATCTACTTTAACTTAAATATATCGAAACCCAAAACCAAAACTGTAGTACAGTATATTGCAGTTTACTAGTTCTTGGTATGGTGGCTGCATTTGTTTTAAATTTTCAAGCTTATTTTATATTTTTCACTTGGTAATCCTGCAAATAGCAAATTTCCTGTCCCTGGGTGGCTACATCACTCCTCCACTGGAGGGAGCTATGGTTGTCACCCTAGGCTGATATGGACTACAGACATGTCCGTATCTCTTCATTTCCATTACATGGGGGAGGGGGGCAGGGCAATCGGTGGTTTATAGAATATAGCCAGGAATTAAGATATTCCTCAGCGCAGCTCATGGAAAGTGACAAGCACATTGAATTTCCGGCAGGATCAATAGGTCATTTCTGTACTTGCTGAAAATGTTTGCTGGAAAAAAAGGAAAACGAATGCAGCCCCATCATCTAAGGACTGCAATCTGCAATATATGAAATTTTTGTTTCTGCTTTAGTTATCCTTTTAACCGGCCTATAGCAAATTGACGGCCAGGGGGGACACTTGCCGTTGTGACTGAGCGTCATATGACGTCCTGTCAAAACGAGCTGCTCACGTGGCCTCAGGGCTGCGCAGTGGCACGTTCTGTCACCGGCTGTGTCCACGAGACACAGCCGATGACATCCCACTACACCGGCCCATTGCCAGTGTCATGTGACCGCTGTGACCAATCACAGCAGATCACATGTCAATTGTATACAATGGATGGCTTCCTGTCATGCCATCCATTGTATACAATTATGCTAGCTGTGACTGGTCAAGGCAATCACATGATACAGACAGGGCCAATCACAGCCCATCTGTATCATGTGATCAGCTTTGCCCAATCACAGCTAATCACAACAGAAAACTGAATGAATCAGTTTCATTCATTAACAATGATTGCAAATATCAATGAAATACATTGGTATTAGCAATCATAATGTGTTATCAAAAAAAAATCCTGATCACTTGCCCAGAGTAGTTCAATGTTACTATGGTAACATCATATTGCTTTGGTCACAGTGTGCTGAAAAATAAAATAGTAAGAAAAAGAAAAAATTTACTAAAAAAAAAAAAAAAAAAAAGAAACATTTGAAAAAAAAAAAATACAAATTCAATTATTATTATTTTCACCAAAGAAATGTAGCAGAATACATTTTGACCTACATATGTGAAGAAATGTTATTTATTTTCAAAATTTTATAACAGAAACAAAGAAAAGTGCATTTTTTTTCAAAAGTTTCAGGTGTTCAGGTTCAGGTGGTGATTAAATACCACCAAAAGAAAGCTCTATTTGTGTGAAAAAAATGCTAAACATTTCATATGGGTACAGTGTCGCATGTCCGCGCAATTTGTCATTCAAAGTGCGACAGCGCTGAAAGCTGGAAATTGGCCTGGGCAGGAAGGGGGTATAAGTGCCCTGTAGGAAAGTGGTTAAATACAGATTTTATTTCCCTTTATTCTACTAAATAATTCCTAACAATGTGATTTTTTTTCTCTTTTCAGTCTAAGCTCGGCTACCTCACCCTGGTGCTGTGCACAGGACACGCATTTGTCTTTGGCTGGAACAGGTTCCTGAATGTGGCTAACTTCAAATGGTATATGCCCCCTGCCTACACGCTGTCTCTGGTCATCCCCTGTATCGTGCTGATCCTCAAATTCATTCTCATAATCCCGTGTATTGATAAACGGATTACCAAAATACGGCAAGGATGGGAAAGAAGCTCCACAGCTCAAGAAGATAAGAAGTTTAAAAATGGCCATGTCACTATATAATGATCTGTACAATGTACTGTGTGTCTGACTGGTGGACTGAGTCTCTATATTATCGAGGTGCATCAAAAATAATTTTTTGACCACTTGCTGAGTGCCTCTACCTGTGGTGGATGGGTGGTGGGTGACAAGAGTCTTCTACGGCGCGCTCATCCGCCCCAGACTTCAACTCTTGCTCCTCTAATGAATTGAAGAGACCTGTTACACAGCGAGAGTGCTTATGGTGGAGTGACAACACCACTGCTGCATTGCAAGGCAGTGGCTGAGCGTTGTCACCTTGTTAAAGGAAAGGCCAGGGATCATATTATTAATATTATTATACAGGATTTATATAGCGCCAACAGTTTGCGCAACGCTTTACAATGTGAGGACAAACAGTACAGTTACCATACAATTGAATACAGGAGGAATCAGAGGACCCTGCTTATTAGAGATTACAATCATATGGGTAATTATGTAAATTTGAATAGCAAAAACAAAATAAAAAAAAATAATATGGCATTACAGTAGTTGCAAACCCTTATATCCATTGAATTGACTAGTCTCAGCTGATACTATGAGATGAAACAGATCCTCCTACATACGTTGTACCTGTTTATCTGAAGAGTATTCTTTACAGCCTCCTACAGCACACGTTGTACACAGCATTCCTTAGCTCCAGAAGGCAGGGGGGGGTGGGGAGCTGATGTTACACACATAGCTAAGTGTAGTCTGAGATCTGAGTGGAGGGAATGAACACACCCCGCTCTACACAGTCTCACAGGGAAACGTAGGGATGTTGGGGAGGGGGGAGTGTCTCCTGGGATTGAAGAAACAGCAAACATAGGGCACACGGGCCTAGTGTGTAAGGGGGTGTGGGGCGTGGATAATAATACTGATGTGCAACGTTAATCTGCAATATGCTCTTTGGTCAGTAGATGGTAGCAAAGTACAAGAATCGATTTTGCATTGAGGTTTACTATGACAAAAACGAATGCTTATTTACCTTATATAGTTTAATGAATGCTAATTTAGGGGCCGAGTAGGACCCTCAGAAAGGGTCATAGTGAACTGTAAATACAGGTTTGAGTCTGCAATTAGGAAATTACTTACTGCATCACAAATTCTCTGGGAAGGGGAGGAGTTCCGGTGCAGAGCAGGAAGTGAGAGGGGTCTGTGTCTGGCTGGTGTATGCTGAGGACATCTGGAGAATCTGTGTGGAGCCTGGAAGAGGATTTACGGCTCACAGTGGAGTCTGGCGACGGCACCTAGTGAAGATTCACCGCAACGAGACCGGGAAACAAGTGACTGTATAGTCTGGTTCTGGAGTGGACCAGTGGATCAGGAAAAAGCACCAAGAGCCTGCCAAGGCTTTGCCGCACCACATCGCACCACACGTGTTCAGTGACATTTCGGATATACCAAAGAGCTACAAGAGACATACTCCACTTTCCTTTGGCTTACAAATAGTATTGCGCAATACTTAGGGTGCACCCCGACGTTATATCTTGCTCAGGAACATTCAGGCGCAGCCAGGCTGCTTTCTGGACATTGGGGAAAAGTCTGTAAGTACGGGGTTAGTGTTAGACAGTATTATTCTTACTGTATGGTTATGCGCTGTTATCATTCTGTTTATGTATGCTCAACTACATGATCACTATAACTGTTCAGTAAACGTAATTGTTGTAAAAGAACCGCTGTATGTGTCTGTGTGGCATCGTGTACCCTCTGAATCTGTGGGCCCAGCCCTCGGTTCTCTGTCAAGTGCATTACCAAAAAAATGTTTAATAAGAAATAAAAGTAGGTGTTGTACTCACAAACAGCAGTAAAGTCAAAGGCACGTCATAAAAGAACAGCTGGGTCAACACCGCGCTACGTGACTGTCCGCAATAGGGAGTGTAGAAATCCAATAGGCTGACGCGTTTCTAAGACTTGCCTGTTCCTCAGAGCCACCTCAAAACACGTCAGCCTATTGGATGTCTACTCTCCCTATTGCGGACAGTCACGTAGCGCGGTGTTGACCAAGCTGTTCTTTTATGACGATCCATTGACTTTACTGTTGTTTGTGAGTACAACACCTACTTTTATTTCTTATTAAACATTTTATGGTAATGCACTAGGCCTGTGCACCCTATGTTTGTTTTTTTCTTCATTCAGTTTATTTGGATTTCCCCGGTCTTTTGAGGGCTGCAAGGTGTGCATGTTTCCAGGACATTCTTGATGTGGTTGTCGCCTGCATTGAGTCCATCCTCAAGCGCAGGAGCATTTGTGTTTGCTGGTCCTTTGTCTCCTGGAATTGTCTGATGTCGCATAAACTGTCAGACGTGACTCATGCAGATAGCAGAGGAATGAGAGAGAAGGCAGAGATCACACTCAGTGCTTTGGACAATTATATATTACAGAAGGATATGCTTTGTTCATTTTTCATTGCAGAGGTTTACAACCACTTTAAAGGTTACAAGATTCATGTGTAGCAATATAATAAATTGTATTTTTTGTACTTTTAAATGTGCTTTTCCTAAATAGTCATTTTCCTTACAGATTTAGTTCATTAGTTTATACACTTGAGCTCTAATGTTTCCAATTGTGCACATTTCATAACGTCTCCTGTTATTAGAAGTGGTCAAATCTAGCAGAGTTTCACCTCTGCTTCATTGACTGTTTCATTGACCGCAATGTATTGTAGAACAAAAATCGACATGCTGTACTAGAACCACTAGCATCATTGTCCTGAGTAATAGCTGGATAGTTTGAATTGTCCATAATAAGGCCTCTGTTTTAACCGCTTGCCGGCTGCCCTATAGTAGAAGTACTGCTACATGGCGACTGGGCTGCACAAAATCACATGTATATATATGTAATTTGCATTTCTGGGTAGGGTGCGCCCGCTCGTGCACCGCCTTACCGCGCCACCATTGGTGGTTACGGATGTCAATCACCTGGTCCCAGCCGGAGAATCCCGGCCGATCACCTAGTAAAACTGACTGGGGAGAGACCTGTATGTAAACAACACAGGTCTCTCTGCTGCCAGCAATGACATGCTGCTGTGTATGCAGAGAAATACACAGCAGCATGTTTCGCTAGTAAAGCACACACACAGCACATGTTGTAAAACACACACAGCACACAGTTAGCCTTTTGATTGCCCCCGACGTTAACCCCTTCCTGCCCAGTGTCATTAGTACAGTGTCAGTGCTTTTTATCAGCACAGATCACTGTATTAGTGTCACTGAGGATGTCAGTGACAGTTAGTTCCTCCCCAGTGTCAGAATGCCCGCCATAGTCCTTCTATAAGTCGCTGATTGCTGCCATTATTAGTATATAAAAAAAAAAATTCCAGTATATATACCGCCATTTGTAGACGCTATAACTCACGTAAACCGATTAACACGTATTGGATTTTTTTTAGCAAAGACATGTGGCAGAACACATTTTGGCCTAAATTTATTATGAAATCTGATTTTTTACATTTTTTTTATTGGATATGTATCATAGCAAAATGTCAAAAATATAGTTCAAAACTGTCAGTTGTTTTTGTTTATAGTGCAAAAAATTAAAACCCGCAGAGGGGATCAAATACCACACAGAAAGCTCTATTTGTGGGGAAAAAAGGACATAAATTTAATTTGGGTGCAGCGTGACCGCGCAATTGTCAGTTAAAGTAATGCAGAGCCGTATCGCAACAAATGGCCTGGTCAGGAGGGGGGGTAAATCCTCTGAAGGGCAAGTGGTTAAAAATTTAATTTAAAGTGCTAGTAAACTCTTTCATATCTGCAGTGAAGTAACTGATCCCAGATGATACACAGAGATAAAACAAATTGTCCCACATAAGTTGTACCTGTTTATCTGGGGCTTTCTTCAACGTCTATTCGAAGTGCAGAATTTACACAAGATCTCTCAGTTCTGAAAAGCAGGGGGCACGGAGCTAAAGTTACATGAGTGAGGAGAGCTTAGAGAGCTGATTGCAGGGAAGGGACACCCCCTTCACACAGCTCACAGGAACAGAGCTGAGGCTGTCACTCACAGGCTGTGCCTTCCCTGTCACCATTTTTCTCTTGGTGTCAGGGAGACTCGTCACAAGTGACTCATGCGGATAGCTGAACGAGGCAGTGGACATAAATAACACTTAGTGCTCTGGATCGAGCATGGACTGACCATTTGGGAACTCGGGCACTGCCCGAGGGCCCAGGGTCAGTAATGGGCCCCATGAGATGCCCCTGGTACCTTTCATAGGCTTTTTTGGGTGTAATTTGAGTGTGGGTGAGGACACAGGGGCCCCATGCTTCCCTATTGCCCAGGGGCCCCATGAGTTGTGAGTCCGCCCCTGGGATCGAGACAAGCACACACTATAGAAGAATATGCTTTGTTCATATTTCATGTCTGAGGTTTACAACCACTTTTAGACTAGGTTCACACACTTGCAGTCTGCAGGCTGGTTGAGGGTTCCGGAATCCTACCTGTTCCCTCACCCACAACCACCTGCAGCCAAATCGCGCTGCTCTTACGAGATATGCGGGGCTACCATTCATTCTGAATGGCATCCCCATTCATTTCATTTGTGGGTGCATGAAACGATGGGAAATTGCATGGTCAAAAACACCATGCGGTTTCACTGCGGCTGTGTTTTTTAAAAAAGTGTATGCACCTTTTTCCTGTGGGAAATGTGGGCCCGCCAATGGCTCTCATTGCTGTCTCAGCCAATGAGGAAGGAGAGACCCCGGCTCTCATGCACATCGCTGGAACGCAATAGGGCTCAGATAAGTAATGGGGGGGGGGGGGTGCTGGGGAAATCTGCACACAGACTAGAATGCATGAAGGTAAAAACCTCGAGCCTTTAGCACCACTTTAATAGAAATCATTTATTAAATCATTACATGCTTTTGTTTTAAATGCAAGCAGTGTTAACTTATCAACCTCCTGCCATCCTCTGTACTGCAGAGCTCAGAATGGGGAAAGGAGAAGCAGCACAAGAAACCCATTTGTTCATATTCTAACATGCTGATAGGTGGAGTGATGAGCTCACA